ACCGAAGTAATGGGAGGCTAACTTTATACTAGTATGTCAATCCCTTGAAAGAAATTTAGCCTGATCAATATAAGAACTTCAGATCAGCGGAAAAAAGTTACAGTACATCAGATAGAGGACATAATGTTATAAAAACCAAAAAAATAATCAAAGCTCTGCTTTGAGCTTGTTTCTGTGCTTTGATAAAGAGAGAGAGAGATGTGTGTGAAGGACTTTTTCTAAGGCTCAATACCACCCCAGAGTGTATTCATGCACAGATTAAGCACCCATTTGTCAAGATATTATAATTTGGGTCAAGACTCAAGAGTATGTTAATTGCACTATAAATCTGATTGACATCAACTATACCAATATATTTTTGTCATTAGTATATGGGTTCATTTACTTGAAATACAACCCAGGGCCAAGTGTTTGCTAGGGATCATAACAAGACAAGCAATACTCGGGTTTGACTTGGCTGGTTGGATCGACTGGAAAAGCTATGAGTCTATGACGCAAGCTCAAGATTGAAACACCTTGCTCAATTCAGCTGGCAAAAAGATTTGAGCTCCAGCCTAACTCAAGTGAAGTAAATACAAGCAGTTTGCAAGCTTCGTCCTAAGAAATAGTACTGCGTATTAGCTTTGCTTGCAATTCCTAATGCTAAATGTAAAATAATACAATACTTAATTTGTAATTCCTCTATAAACATTTAGGAGATTTTCACTAAGGCAATTTGTTTAATGTTGAAATACAAGAATAATAGAAGATGCATTAAACAAAAGTTGGAATGCGCTTTTATGAGCCAAGCACAATTTTGTTTGTTACACAGACTTGTTATACCAAGTAAAGTTCAAGTTCATGGCAAACCCGTTCAAGTTCAGGGCAAACTCGTTCAAGTTGAACCTTCATAAGGATAAAACTCGAGAAGCTGACGAGTAAGTTACCACTAAGGCAATAATCACACCACACAAATAAATAGCTCAAAATGCCAAAAAGGATAACCATGAGAATAATTACTCATAAAGCAATCGTTGAATTACTATTAGATCATAGAATTTATACACAAGATTCATAGTAGGATCTAAAAACCCCAAAAGGCAGGTCCATCCACCCCAAAAAGATCAAAAGGGGAAAACATAATTGGGGGGGTCAGTCTAAAATCTAAAAATTAAAAGGGCATATAACTGAAAATGACAGATGATAAAAGGTGACCTAGTCAAATAAGCTTAATTAAGATTCATTAAGCTTGTGCTTTTTATCAACAGGGTTATCAACAGGGTTGTTGTTGTTATTGTTGTTGTAATTAAGCTTCTTTGAAGAGCCCTTAGCGAGGTTAATTGGGTATTTAAGGGCATTAAGCTCAAGCTTTCTAAGGGCAGCTTTACCAAGATCAACCCCACAAATATCAGAGAGTCTTACAAGGTATAGTAGCACATCAGATAGCTCTTCTCCTAAATGTTGCTTCTCTTCTTCCTTCCAACCTGGTAATCCTCTTGGCACCTCCCTTTCCATTGAAATATCTCAGATAGTTCTCCTACTTCCCCAACCTGTAAGAAAATCAACGGCGACACTGATCAGTAAGAGTAAGGCGAAATAGCTAACATGTTAGCTATCAATTTATCGAACAAACAACAAGTCTAATATTACTTTACTTGTTTGACGGACAATTTTGTTGATTTATTAGGTGTTAGATTTAGATAGCAAGCATGATTAACATCTTTTCTTGAAATTATAAGCATTTAAATTGTCCACAATATAGCCAATATGTTCCTTTGATTTAACAAGACCCACATCAATCAATTGTTCCTTGACTTGATCAAGGTATAATTTTGTCAATGTACTAGATGTTAGGATCACAAACATGATAAGCATATTATATCGAAAAATTGAAGCATTGCTAAATGTTTGCTATTGAATTATCGAATGAGCCCCACGTCAATCAATCGTTCGTTAACTTGATTATTTAAGGACAACTATGTCGATTTACTAGGTGTTAGATTGTGAACATGATAATCATCTTTTCTTGAACATTATAATCAATTTCAATTTTCCCACAAAACTAAATAAAATTATAATTATGTGCATGACACACAATTAGCTAGGAGTACTTTTGTCTCAGATCATCTACTACTACTACTATGGTACAAGGACCACAAGATTTAGCCATTTTTGGAGTTTTTTGTATTTTCCTTCAATTTTCCACCTTTCATCTTACAATCCAAAACCCAGAAAACCAATAATTCTAACCCAAATGGGCATTCAAAAAATCCTTGAAACACTAATGAACTGATAAATTTTTCAAAAAAAAAAAAAAAAGGTTCTATTTTTAAAAGTGCAAAGAAAAACTCAAAAACTCAATAATTATTGTGACTAGAAAAAGTTTTTGAGTTTCCCAGAAATTTGCAAAAGTAACAAACTTTGCTGAAAGCTCCCCTTAAAAATACAAAAAACCAATGCATATACAAAAGAAAAATAATTTCTACATTGAATAATGTATTAATAAAGCAAGAAACAAGTAGTATTATCACAATACAACAAAAAAATAAGAGAAAACAAAAAAAAATGGTTTAATTGGTAGAAATTTCTAGGGTTTAGCATAAAATAAAATGGGGTTTAAGAAAATTACCAAAGCTAAAAGGAGATTTCTTGGGCTATGAAATTGATCCCAATCTCTTTCCTTAGCAAAATCCGCCATTTTTAACTTCAAATCTTCGAGACTGACACTGTTTTTCTCCTCACTTCCTTCCATCTTTCTCTCTCTGCAATTGGAGTTTTGAGATTTTTGTTATTGTTTTTGTTGTGCAACTTTGTACAAGTATTGTTTTTTGTTTGAACCTTTTCAATTTGTTGGTTTTGGGCTTTTTGGGAAGTGAGTAGACATACTTTCTAGTCAATGGCCAATTTATTTTCTTTGGCTACGTGTAAAGCATATTTTGTTTAACATTTTTCCGACCATGGAAGTTGAAACCATCTCATATTAATTTATGGTATAAATATTTCTAAGAAAAAAAAAAATCATTGTATGAATGTAAAACCATATGGAATAGAGTACTTTCTAGTAAAGGCCTGTTTTGATTCACTTGATTGAACTGAACTGAATATTCTATGTGAGAAGGAAATTAAAAAATGAATTGAAATGAAATTAATGCGAAGGGAACAGACTATAAGTACTCCCTTCATTTCAAAAAAAAAATTGGGACACTTGACTTTTTTTTTTTTATCAACTTTGACTATGGTTTATTGTTATTATATTACGGGCCTGTACTGATACGATTATTTTTAGTTCAGTTCAGCTCTAATAAGTTCAATTCAGCTCAATTTAGCTCTAATAAGTTCAGTTTAGTTCAGTCCAGTTCCTAATTTCCTTCTCTTATAAATATTCATTTTAGTTCAGTTAAATTTCAGTTCAGCTCTAATAAATTCAATTTAGCTCAGTTCAATCAATGTGAACATGCCCTACATCAAGTGATCACCAATTTATTTTTATTTTTTTGAAGAAAAGTGATCACCAATTTATAGTTAAATGGCAACTTCTTTTTATTTATTTATTATTTATTTAAACAATAAGTTAGTCATATTGTGAGAAATATGTAATGGGCATGTAATGGGTTTAATAGTTTTAATTAGCTTAAGTCCAAACAATGGTTATTAATTAGTTTTAATTAAAAATAGTTTGGACATGTTGGTGAAAAATTAATCGGAATAACAAAACAAAGGAGAATCTACGCGTGTACGAAGAACATTTTTCTAAAAAGGTTATTCCCCTCATAGAAAAAGGGTGGAGAACGGATATTTATATTAGGCTTTTATCTTACGTGTTTGTGTCAAGTGGCTAAGACTTTTATTATAAATATACGTAGTATATAAGCCACTTAGCCCACTTGTCCAAAACAACACTTAGCCCATTTCATAAGTCATATCCAATTGTTTATAATATAAACAATACATCAGCTTCTTATTCTTTCTACAGGGATAACCTCCCACTCGGCCACTCATAACATAATTATTAGAAATACTCCAAGATGACAAACTCATATAATAAAGTTTCTTAAGAGTTAGGTTCAACTAATAGCTTAAAAAAGTTTCATATATAGGAATCAAGAAGTTCAGTGAATCCAATTACGTGAAAAATCGAAAAGTAGCACGCATTGTGATATTTGTCAAGGTAAAAGAGGAGGAAGAACAAAGGTGTGGATGCTCTCCTACACGATAAGAAAGTATCCTAGTAACACCTAACACGGCAACACATACATATGCGCACAACAATTATAAAGGATGTACATACACAAACACAACTACACAATCACTACAAGAAATTTGATTTTTGGCTACAAGTTTTGGCTACAAAAAAATATATTTGTTGCTAAAAAAAATCTTTAGTAACAACAGACTTGAGTTGTGACGTAACATTGTAGCTAAAAGTTTGATTTCACTTTCCCGCCCCACTTTTCATTGAGCGGGATCCGTGAAATAAAACTTTCGTTTTTGGCTACAAAAAGTTTTGTTGCAGAAAATCGTTAAATTTACAGTTACAAAAATAACTTGTTGTGGTAAATAAATTTTTTATAGCTTCGAAAACATTTTCGATATGTTAAAAAAAAAAATATTTTAGCTACAACACATGTCGTTGCCTAAACAAATTTTATTATAGTAAAAAAATCAAATTAAACAAATTCTTTTTTATAGGGTTTGTTTTATTTCTCACTCATCATTTCTCACTTCTCAACTCAAACCTCTTTGCAAATAGTGACCTCCTTCGTACCCCCATTTCATCTCTGAGAATTTCAACCAGCTTTTACAATTTTTCGGCATATCAAAAGTAAGTTTTTCGATTTTTTGTTGTTGATTTAAGTCTACAAATCAGCTTAATTACCGTAATTCCTTCACTTCGTAATCGGCTTAAGCAAAAACCCATCATTTCTTTTTAATTACTTTGTTTGATACTTACCTCCTCGTCTTTACTATGAAATACCGCCGCTTATAATCTCTGTTCAAAGTTATATTTATGGGTATGTTGAGAAAAGATAATTTCTAGGTTTTCCTTTTTTTCAATTTTAAAATTATTTTGTAATTCGTACAATTGGGTGAATAAATTCAGGTTGATGAATGCATAATTGGGCTTGAGAAGCTAGTGGAAGCTAGATTTTGGCATTATTGAGCATTTTTATTTTAGGTATGTAATTAAATTTCTTTAGCTTTTCAATTGATGATGTACAGATTATAGCCATGGGTTCATGCATGTCAATTTTAAACTTGGAATTATTGAAATATTAACTATAATAATCAAAGTATGAAGGTTAAAAATCCATTATTAATTTGGTGGGGCTTAACTCAATTTAGTTTTTAGTTGAAGCACAAAGAGATACTTGCTACTGAAAATCCAGCCCCTAGGAGTGTTGAAAGAAGGCATAAAGCTCAATTTTCAGAATGGGTTCATAATCGCGTAAGTTACCTGCATGTTATTTAGATTTTATATTAGTATTCTGATTACTTTATTACAACAAATTTTGATCCTTTAAAAATATTTTATAGGTGGAGCATATGTATAAAGACGGAATGGTTGGCAAAGATTTGTATTATTTGGTTTGTGGTCCTTTACGCACAGTAAGACGTTACAATGGCTATATTGTTAATGGTTTTAGGTTTCACACCCTCGATCGCCAAGAAAATAGGAAAAGCTTTTTTTTCTTAATAGGAAAATAGGTATAAAGACGGAATGGTTGGCAAAGATTTTTTTTCTTAATAACTAGAATGGTTAACTATTATGGCTATTTATGTGTAATGGAATATATTGCTTAGGTTTATTTGTTCATTTTTGTTGACTAATTCTTTTTAATCTGTTTTCAGTAATGGATGTCATGAAGATTATGATTGTGAATGAAAAGTCAAGTAAAAAGAGAACTTGTTGAGCACCTTCTAACTTTTTGGTCAAAAACTCTACCCATCACTTTTGGCATCTACATATATTTTGGACCTGCAGTGAGGAGAATAAGACATATTTGAGTACAACACCTTCTAACTTTTTTGTCACAAACTTTCACTCATCACTTTTTAGCATCTACATATATTTTGGACAATGTAGAGATGGATTATTGTCATTATTATTAAAGTTGATGGGTATTGTAAGGACAATACTTTCAAATTTGTATATGTATGTCAATTATTTTGGTACTAATTATGTGTAGTTAAATATTTTGTTTTATATTTTTACAATTCAAGAAAAAAAAATACAAGTTTTGTTTTACCATGCACAACTGTATAAGTGCGAGCAGGAATATTGTGTAAATAAATGACTATAAAACAGTTCACTACTCCAAAAAGTGTTTTTGGTATCAAAAACACTCGTTGCGAAAATTTGTTTTTCGCCACGAAAACTTTCGTTGCTAAATATATATTTTTCATAACAATTTTTATTGTTGCTAATAATAAGTTTCTACATTAGTCTGACATTTAGATATGGCAACAACATATATTTGGAAACAAATTTGTTGTTGCCAATATTCCATTTCTCACAACAAAAAAAACTCGTTGCAGATATCTTTAGTAACGGCATCTGCCATAACAACCCAATTTTGTTGCCAAAAACGTAGTTTTGTTGCCAAAAATATTTTTAGCTACAATTTTTCTCGTTGCGAAAAATCAAATTTCTTGTAATGAATACATATAGTTCACTGCAATTATAGTTGGATTCCCATCCATCAATTACATTTGCTTGGAAGGGAGTGGGGGGATTCCATTATCTCCCCCCTCGACTCTCAAACGTTGACCTGCGGAGCTATATTGGATTAACCTGTGAGAGATTCCAGTTTTATAGGGTCTTTCATCTTACCTTATAGTTGGTGTATATAATCGATTTTTTTTTTTTTTTTTTTTTATTTTTGTTAAAATTAGCTCATTTTTACTTGACTTAATTAATTTTTATCAAACTTAAATTATATTGACTAAATATTATTTGAATAAGTTGAATATATAGAACATATATACAAGATAAAGCATTACGACATTAGGCCTATCTCCAAATTTAAGAGTACACCAAATTCAAGAGGTCATATGGATTTTTTTGAGAGTAGGAACCCATATCATGATCTTATCCATATACATTACATTATCAAACACAAAATTGAAGCACTAGATTGATACCGTAATTTACTTGCAAACATTTATATGATGAAAACACAAAATTACAAAACACACTTGGAAAAAAAAAAAAAAAAAAGATATATCCGAACATACCAAGTTCACTAGCATACACATATGCATTAAAAAGTTGCTACATATATACTATCTATGATAGATAGTACGATCATCACTACCATTTTATGCTTAAACAAAAACTCTAGGAGTAGAATGAGCACCAGCACCACCATTGCAGTCCACCTCTCGTAGCTCCGTCCTTAGGCCTTTCCCTTCTGCATTTGCCAAGGGATGGATTCCGTGCTCCAACCCCTTCATGTATGCTCGATTTTCTCTTTCTTTTTCAAAGTTCACATTGTACTTCTTCTCCACATCTATATAGAAAATACAAAATTAAGCACAAGAATTCAAGAAGTGTACGGATTGCATTTAGTTAGTTGGAAATAAATCCTTATTTGGGAATTTTATTTCGAATATATGAGAAAAGTCATAGAAGAACGTACAATATCAAAGCCTTAATCCCAAAAAGATGACAAAAGAAAACCATTTTAATATTATATATCTAGGCCAACATCTAGCTAACAACTTTTTTCTTTTTCAATAATAGTTAAATGAACTACGTGTCAGAGTTAAACTATGTGCAATCCACCATCCATCAAATATTGTCTACATCATTATAGACGTTACCTAATACATTAATACATATTCTAAAATAAATTACGATTTAATTAGAAACATGCAATCAAAAACTCTGATCTGTAAGATATACCTGAAGCAAGATGACTATAGAGTTGTCCATCACGAGTTAAAGCCATCATAATTTGGGGTAGTCCTAAGGGGAGATTATCCCCGCGATCAACCTGCCAAAAATGGATAGTCTTCCCATATGTTTGAGCCACCTTAGCGAGGAACCCCGGGTAGGAAGAGCACCCCGCTCTTAACCTCGTACTCATGAGAGTGCCAGAGCCGCTTCTCGGCATCAGGCAGCGTCATGAAGAGGTTCTCCGATACGATGTACTCGATACCGATCAAGCGAGCATCAGCCTCGGGGCTGTCATAGATCAAGCACTGACGCATTTCTTCGTTTTGGTGTCCGCAAAAGTGGTGCGCTTCTACTTGACGAGTCATGTCATTTCCGTAGAAGTGGAACCTATGGAGAGGGCAAAGTTTTGAGATAGAAATCAAAGTAATTATGGATTTGCATGCAAAAGATTGCAAATTAATTAAATCTTTAAGCTTTACAAATAGATTTACATATATGTTTTTGATTAATCAAATCAAATTTTTAAGGGCTTGTTTGACATCGTTTTTTGTTTTCAGTTTTCTATTTTTTTTTTTTTGAAAACTTTAAACAAAAATAGAAAACAAGAAAGACGTATTTTCACTTTTCTGTTGTCAGTTTTCAAAATTATCATGATTTTAATAAGTTTGAATTATTTTTTACTCATTATGTGACATATATTATATGGTTTTAAAAAACAAAAAAAAAAACCATTATAATGCCAAACGAACCCTAAGCTTTGAATTAATTTTCATTAATATTTAATTACATAAAATAAAGTTAAAGTAGTACATCGACATGTATGCAAAATTGACTATCGTCTACGTTAGTTATTTTAATAAAGTTCAAACGAATTAATCATTAAACTAAGATTATACAATGAAAAAAATTCATCATCAATTATATTCATGTTGATCTCAAATAAAAAATTATACAACAATAACGTGTGATCTTGTTAGACTCATTTCAATATCTATCCATATAAGTTCATAACATCAACTTTAATTTTAAAATTTTTTAATTGAAGATAACTAAAAAAAACTCACAATCAAAATTATACATTAGCAAACATATATAAGCAAAATTATATATTAGTATGCATAAAACTTTTCAAATTGTGCATGTAAAAAAAATAACATCGCCAAAATAAATTAGAGAAAAAATTACGCGCAGAGATGTTGGTGGATGGCGTTTATAGGGCCAAACTTCTGAACCGCGGCGGTGGCGGTCTCAAGCATGGTGGTGCTGGTCTTAGTCGGCTCGCCGGGAACTAGAGGATGAGTTGCCATCTTGTATGGTTGTTTTTTTTTTTTTTTTCACACTTGTATATTTTTTATCAACTTATTATTGTACGTGTTAGTTCATGTTCAAAGGCAAAACTATAGTAGTGTTTATATTTTTGGGAAATAGGATGTATTCAACACTTGGGTTTTCATGCAACATTACACGTACATGCTTAAGAGGAGATCTAGATATAACGTGGCTTCTTTGCCTTATTTTTATTTCTTTGGGAATTTGCCATTTCTTTAGGATCTGCCACCCATACGCTCGTATGATTTAGCCAAAGCTTACGGGTTTCGGATTAAATTAGTATCGCAAGTACTCCTTTTGTCTCTTAATGTTTACTTTATTTAATTTTTGATATTTGACTCGCACATGCTTTGATTATCTATAAGAAAAATTATTTCAATTGATCTTGTTAATTTAATTGTTCGTAGTAGTTTCATAATATCTTAATTTTGTATAAAATCATGTAGTTTACCATAGTAATGATCAAATGCATTTTTTAGAGATTGTAAAAAATCTAATGGGGCCAACATTAAGGACATATTCTCATTGACTATACTGAGTTGAACTGAAGTGAATTGAAAATAATCGTATCAGAACAGACCCTAAGATCGAAATTTTTTCTACAAACTTCACCGTTAAAAAAAAATAACTCTGTAGCGATATACTTCCTGTTATGTTACCTTTGGTTGGGCCTTGAATTGGATTATTGAAGTCCAATATATTGGGCTGATTTTGGACTTTGTTGAAGCAACACTTACTAGCCTAGCCCAACCCACTTATCATTTTATCAAGCACAGTAAAACTTAATAGGTTGGAGTAGTTGACTAGTTGGTAGTTGGTACCGTAATATACTGGGTAACTGGAGTAATATGACGTAGGACGTACAATAGGGGAGTAGGGGACAACTCAAAACCTTGAAGAAGAATTTTGTGTCTTTCTCTACTTTGATCTTTCAAAGCACTTCCAAGCTTTTTCTTCAAACTGAATTGTACTTCGTATATTAGTTATTTATTTTATAGGAAGTATATATTTAATTTATATTCTCCACCTTTTTTTATTTATGTTTTTTCTATTTTTAGGAAAAATAATAATTCCAAACCTTACATGATAGATTAAGTTATTAAGATAAGCATGCATATAACTCAAGTGGTATTGCAGCAACGACTTTAGGTGCATAAGATTTAATGGACATTATGAAACTACAGTAAATAGTATAACTTGACATTCTATACGAGAAATACTACTACGGATTAGTAATATCATATCCACAAAGCCATATGTTTTAGGATAGAATACTTTTTTTTTTTTTTACAACGGCAACTAAACAAAATAACTAGTTTGAAAAGCTATGTAAATTAACCCTACATAAATTAGCAATCTGATGGGCTTGTACGATCTGATCTTTTCCTACTTTGCAATTGATACAGCTCTGCAGCAGCTCCCTGTTTGTATCAAATCTTGAATTGTCCAAAGAAGCATTACTTAAAAGCACTGGCGGAGCCAGAGGGGTACAAGGGGGGACAGTTGTCCCCCCACTTTCCAAAAAAACAAGCAGCTATATATATTATTGTGTGGACTAATTTAGGATACAAAGTGGATGGTGTGGTGGTGAGTGGAGTTGAATTCTTTACAAGATAACCAAGGTTCAAACCTTGTTGTTGTAATATTTCCTTTTTTTTTTTTGAAGAATCCTTCCATTATATTTATTAACCAATACGAATTTATTTACATAAGTGTAATTGTAATATTGCATGAACGGAGCCCCTAAATTACTATTGTCATTGAACTTTAGTGGAGTATTTTCCATTCACTTTTTTTCTTTATAATGTTTAATTAAGAAGTATTCCTTTCAATTTTTTTAATTAATATATACTAAGTATATATATTTAAATAATAATTTTAATTATGATATTGCATGAACAAAACCTACTAAATTAAGTTTGTCATACAAAATTAT